TGGTGGCCCTGTGTGGTATTAACAATGTTTTTGACATGCTAATACCATTATGCTGCCACCATACTGTTTTGTAAGAGTATATAGACACAATTTGTCTTTTTTTGGTTTGCATTTTTTTATATTTGCAGCCAATTGAAAATGTATCCCTTAAAACTGTGTTCTACTGAAACAGGGAACAATCCATGATATATATATATAGCATGTCTTCAAGGGAAATGCCTTTGTTTAGTGTGCTGAATGCAGTCTAATTGAGACCATATTCCCACTGGACACAAAACCCACACTCATGCACATACTAAGAATGTAAATACAATTCAGCGGAGGTTATATTCCCACCTGACAGACTAAAGCACACATACACAGCAGTCCCTGGAGAAACCTTAGAGTATGCATGAATAGCTGTAAGTTCATACAGAGGAAATGTGACTGAAATGATACATTGTGTTGCACACTTACAATACTGCAGGCTGAAACTCAGCACTGCCAGAAGGGCACCCACCACCAGCACCAGCATGAAACGGCTCCGTGCCAGCATTGTCCTGTGATTGGTTCGGACGCCTGTCCATCAGCCATACATGCACAGCCCCTGTCACCTGGGAAATTAAGAGCAACGGAAACGTAATATTGCACACATATGAAAAACACTAAATGCATGCAATGCTTAACAAATGTTGAGATGCTACAAAGACAAAATGCTCAGCACAAACATTGCAATGAAAACCCCACAATGCTGGTTTCCCTTTTATATGCATATCGCAGCAAAATACACCACACAGGACAGACAAAGTCTGGTGAAACACAAACTGACAAACCTACACACTACACCAAGAGGCAACGTGTAATTTACCCTGGTTGCACAGAAGCAAAAACTGCTATTAACTCTAAATACAGATAATAGCTGTGTCTTTAAATTCCTACATTGAGCTTTTTGAGCGAATCTGAAGTGCACACGCAAACATGCACAGCTGATGAACTGAGCAGATGTTGAAAGTCGCCAGACAGTATTAAACCACCTCCTAGACTACACCCTCACTCCTCTGCATAAAAACAGATATGCATTAAAATTCGCAAAATGGGACACCACACCAATATTTCAGCTGCGGTTTGAGTTCATCACCTTTTTCGCTGTTGGTATGGTTTAAATATATCCCCTTGCAGCGTGACATGCTTTACTCCATCTAAAACTAGTTTAACTTTCTGTGTAATTATTATTCATGCCGTTTTATGGCCTTATTTTAAAGGAGAGATGACATGAAATATTAATGCTTTTAAAATGTGTCACACAGCGGGATTATTTAAATGAACTACTGAAGGCTAAAACAATTCAGAAATGCAATTCATACAATGACTTGAAAACACACTCTTCTATAATGAATATGTTTTAGGTTTCTGAAATGAAAAGAACCATTTTGTCAATTCTATAGAAAATAATCATTAGTATCTCAAGGTCATCAAGTTCATAAATTTCACATATTGGAAAAAATTATAACATTATAAAAAAAGCATGTTTTGAAAAAAAAAAAATACATATAATTTTTTTTTTTTTTTTTTTTACACCTTTCAGATAATACCACTTGTGTGTGTGTTTATACGTACTAATATATATACATACTAATATATATATATATATATATACACATATACATAGGCTACATACATACATATTCTAAGGACTGTATACTTAATGTTACTGTATTTTTTCCAGATTTGAATATTTGCTTCTATATTTTTACGATTTTGTTTACAGGATGTCTTTGCAGGATTGTATTTCTTTATAGGCCATATGGAGAAGTTGCAGATGACAGCTCGCATTTCATAACGCGGTTTATACAATAAATGTCTCTGTCTGAAAGTGTTTGATCTTCAAACTCCGACCATGCGCTCCGAGCGCTGCTTTCCTGCAAATATCGTTCATTTCGTGTTTTACGCGTGAAGACGATCCGTTTACGATCTCAACAGCGCAGTATCGGCGTCTCCGGGAAATCGTGCAGGAGGAAAATGATCAGAATTCGGATGGAAAACGGCAGAACTGCATGGAATTCTGAACGTGGAAGCAGCGCGTTCAGTGAGATCAACAGATCAAGCGCACGACAAGAGAACCCTGCTTTACCTGAGCGAACAGAGCCGAGATATTCCGTTCAGAGGAGTCGATCCGAGCCGTGATCCATCTGCCCCTGAAGAATGATCAGACTCAGCCTGCTGTGAGCCTCTAATAATAGTGTGTGTGTGTGTGTGTGTGTGTGTGTGTGTGTGTGTCAGACATATTATTGTTGAGTTTCATTGCTCCCTCTGCTGGTCATAGATGACAAAATGCTTGTTGTGTTGATGTGAGTGTGATATACTGTACACTGGATATCAAGTGTCCAAAGTATATATTAAATGTCTCCTGAATTTGGCTGGGAGTGTGACCTACAAGCAATGTTTACCCTTGTTGCAGACTATATTCACTCCTTTTGAAGCATACTAGTAATAATAGTGAGCCTATTTATTTTGCAAGTATGCACAATTATATGGCTAGTTGCACTGTGTTATTTGCATTTAACATAGGCTAGATTTCTTTACTGTCTGTCATTCTATGCCGGTGTGTGTGTGTGTGTATGCTCTGTGCTTGTTTGTACTGGTTCTACATTATTTGAACTGGTAGCCAGTTCAAGTATCGACGACTGACCCATTACAGAACTACATTGTTCTTTGGCGATGCATTCGTATGTTTTTGGAATTTTGTTGTGTGTTTGTTCTCGTTGAACTTATTTCAGGGGTTAAAGTGAAGTCGTAAAGCAGCTCTAACAGTGTAATTATTAAGTTCAAGTCCGTTCAGTGTTGGTTCAGTTCAGTTCAAACTGTGAAAGGTTCATCAGTTATCACGTTTGTAAGGAATAGTGGAGCAGAAGGGAATGAGGAGCTATGCAACAGAGACCGTTTGGATTCCAATAAGAGAACTACACTAATAATTACCTTTCTTCTGCAAAAAAAAAAAAAAGAATTAGTGATTTCCACCCTCTCACACTTGGATACACACATTGACTGTCTATGACAGGTTTGCAAGTTAATGTTTGCCGCACTGACTCATGTGACTTCTATAATTAAATTCATACATACTGCCACAACCTGAATGAACAGAAGATTGAATCACTTTAAATATAGATCTGTCTGTTTACACAGAGCTCACACCGTTCAAAGAGCCTCTGTCTTCTAAAACGCCCTATTACTGACAGATGTGTCATCTCAGCCTTTGTGTCTCTATCTCTCTCGAACATATAGAAACAGCTGCAAATGTCTCTGTTAATTATACAACTAATTATTTTTGGTTGAATATTTGAAGTTTGTTCATTGCATTTTGCATCTGATAGTTGTTAGGAAATACTTTTGTAATAATTTGATTTAGGGGTAGGAACAGCAGGTTTTACAAGTTTTGTCGAGGTTAAAGACGTGTGCAAAGCCTTTACAGATCATCACCATGTTAATAAATCGATGACCTACAGCATCCAAGTAAAACAGTTACCCATTCACACACCATAGACCCAATAATTCTGCTTTATATGTCTCTATACTATTTTTTATACAAGTGCAATTCCACAGTCAGACAAAAGAAACTTGCAAGTATGCTATGATTTATGGTCCAATTTCAGTAGCCACCCAGGGAAAGAGTTAACTATGCTTTTAATTTGTTTTGGAAGACATACAGTGTCAATAAAAGAGTGTGTTTTGTGCACAAAGTTATTGTTTGCTGTCAAAGTACAGCTTAAGATTATCCATTTTGAATTTTTTCTCCTCCCATTTGCAGATGCCAAAATAAACAAAGTAAAGGTCTAAAAAAATCACAATGACAGAAAATCAACTTAAAATGCGTCCTGCCAAATAAGTCCTCTCTATTTAGAAAAAAAAAATCTAAATAATAAAATTAATATCTTAACTTTAAGCAGATGACAGCTCGCATTTCATAACGCGGTTTATACAATAAATGTCTCTGTCTGAAAGTGTTTGATCTTCAAACTCCGACCATGCTGGAACGGCGCTGCTTTCCTGCAAATATTGTTCATTTCGTGTTTTACGCGTGAAGACGATCCGTTTACGATCTCAACAGCGCAGCGTCTGTTTATTTTGCTATACAGACTATGCCCAATTACGCCCAATTACATGGGTAGCTGTGTTTTATTATTTCCATTTAGCATTGTTCTCTTCTCTTGCCTGATGTCTGTGACCTTATGTGGCACATTTTTCTGTCACAACGCTCCAGTTGAGAACCACTGGGGTTAAAGATTACATGGAGTATTAGGATTGTATTTAATGAAGTCCGTGATAGAATATAAATAACTTTTGCATGACCTGGTCAAGGTCGCTATTCATTTGATTTCATTTTAATTTCACTTTTTTCTTTATGACTTGCTTTTATACTGTATGTGTGTGATGACAATAAGCTCTCACACCTCACACAAGAAGCATTTTTTACATGTGTCTTAGGTATTTCTTTGTTTGAACATGTTGTTCAGAGGTGTGTCTTATTGGCCGAGCGAAGGATTAAAAAAATATTTTGGTGATTCTCACAAAGAAATGTTTGGGTTACATTTCATTCTAAAACAATTCTTTACAAAGGATAAAAAATGTATAAGTAAATATGTGTTTATAATCAAATTGTGACCTGCTTATAAATATTAATTTTATTTTGTGTAATTTTCATAACAATTAAGCACCCATTTTTATCTATAAATGTACTTCAACAAGCAATATTATTATTTTTACATAAGAATTAGTTTAATTATAAGTTTCCTTGAATTGCTTAATTGTTATGAAAACACAAGTCACAATGAAAAAAAAAATTTCAATGTTCCTAAAATAGAATACATTTTCATGCTCAATAAAATGTTATATTTTTTTACCATTGATTTTGGAGTGAAATATAAGACATACATTTTCCCAGGAACAGCATTACATGTTTTACCAACTCCAGAGTGTATTTATAATGTTCACAAAGCCATTCAGAATAAAAATGTCATTTGTCTTGCACTGCTGTTGATATGTTTATCTCTGTCTTTTTCAGATTAATTCTTGAGAAGGAAGGGCCTCGTTCTTTATTTCGGGGCCTGGGGCCCAATCTAATTGGAGTGGCTCCTTCACGGTGAGTGTTTGTCCATTCATACAGTTAAAATGGCAGTTCAATACATCTCTATCTCAGCGTGCATTTACAGTAGGAACGTGTAGTCTTTAACTCTGTGTACTGAAGTGACAGTGAATCAGATACAGTGCGACTGATGCAATCCCTGCTCAACCGGTAAAGCTGGAAATTTACAGAGCTTGGTATAAACACGCAGACACAAGTCTGTATTCAGGGTTATTTTACAGGTCAGACATCAGCCATGCAGGGTGCAAATCTGGGGGAACCTGACCCCACAATTAAAGGGATAGTTCACCCAAAGATGAAAATTCTGTCATTATTTAATCACCTACATTTTGATGACTCAGTGTTTTTTTTTCTTTTTCTGTTGTTTTGGGTGGACTGCTCCTTTACGACAAATAAAGTAGTTTTCGATAAACATTTACCACTGAATTTATAATCGGCATAAAGGTGATCAGATGTGTTTTTCAGGCCATTAAAAGTGTCTGAGCTCATTTAACACCTGTTGAATAAACCAGGTGTTAAATGCTGTACTTTTATGCCACTCCAGCATTTTTAAAGGTTTTTTGGAACAATGAAGCTCATAATCTGAAATCCAAATGGGCTGTTTCAGCCTTCAGCTGAGGTGTAACAAACGGCGGCTCCGAGAGAACAGCACGGCTTAAAGAGCAATTAAATAAATGAATGGGCATGATACATGGTGGTTTTAACATTTAGTCTCTGTAATGTATAAACAGATGTTTTACGTGCATGCATTCAGGATAAAGCACTTGTCCAGTGATGCACACATGATAAATCTGCACTGGACCTGTTACTTAAAGGGCAGCTTATGTAAACGTGTGTGTTATACAGACAGGAAGGTGAGATCAAACCTGAGATTAATTGCGGAGTGTTTTCCTGTTTGAGTGTTCACTGGCCATTAGTTAAGAGCTTCAGGATACTAAGTTTTTCAGGCCATTAAAAGTGTCTGAGCTCATTTAACACCTGTTGAATAAACCAGGTGTTAAATGCTGTACTTTTATGCCACTCCAGCATTTTTAAAGGTTTTTTGGAACAATGAAGCTCATAATCTGAAATCCAAATGGGCTGTTTCAGCCTTCAGCTGAGGTGTAACAAACGGCGGCTCCGAGAGAACAGCACGGCTTAAAGAGCAATTAAATAAATGAATGGGCATGATACATGGTGGTTTTAACATTTAGTCTCTGTAATGTATAAACAGATGTTTTACGTGCATGCATTCAGGATAAAGCACTTGTCCAGTGATGCACACATGATAAATCTGCACTGGACCTGTTACTTAAAGGGCAGCTTATGTAAACGTGTGTGTTATACAGACAGGAAGGTGAGATCAAACCTGAGATTAATTGCGGAGTGTGTGGAGAGTGTTTTCCTGTTTGAGTGTTCACTGGCCATTAGTTAAGAGCTTCAGGATACTACATGTGTAAACATTTGCGAGGGTTTGTTGAACATGTTGTCCTTGTGAGCTGCTTACGTAGGCATCATAATCATCCAATGGGTGGTTCAGAAGGTGGGGAGCAAAATTAAGTTGTATTTGGCCGCATTGCATTTATCCTTTGGAAAAATCAAGCTTAGATTTGATGCCTGTTTTTGGAACATGGTAGATGGGTTCTTTCTTGCTGGTCTGAGCTGGAAATTAGCTGGTCATTTACTGGTCGACCAGCCAACTTGTTCCAAAACCCACCTTAAACTAGTATCAGGTTAGTTTGTTGCAGATAATGCCTTGGACAAGCTTACCTGCTGAAAAGAACATCTTAAACCAACCTAAATAGTTTAGTAAGTCTCCCAGCTTGGCCAAGATTTACTAGTTGTGTTTAGAACATGGTAGATGGCTTCTGGCTGGTCCAAGGTGGAAATTAGCTGGTCACCAACCAGCTTGTTCCAAACCCCACCAGGAACTAGTATGAGGTTAGTTTGTTACAGATAATGACCAATTTGGACCAGCTAATGACCAATTTTCCTGCTGCAAAGAACCTGTTAAACCAGCCTAAATGGTAAATGGCTTGCTTGGTTTAGTAAGTCTTCCAGTCTGGCCATTATTAATGTTAATTACTGTATTTTAATAAAAAAAAATATTGCACATTGTCATTTGTTTTTCTCCAAACAATATGCAAATTCAAGGCTATGAAGAACAATGTAAACTATGCTGTATTATAAGATTTGGCAGCATTGCATTTATTCTTTGCAAAAATCAAGCTTAGCTTTGGTATTTGTGTTTGGAACATGGTAGAAGGATTCTAGCTGGTAATTAGCTGGTCATTGACTGGTCAACCAGCCAGCTTCTTCCAAAACCTACCTTAAACTAGAAGGAGGTTGGTTTCCTCCTGAAAAGAACATTTTAAATCAGCTTAATTGGTGTTTTGCTTGTCCTGGCTGGTTTAGTAAGTCTCCCAGCCTTGTCCATGGTGATGGTAATCAGATAATTGGTTTGCTCAGCTGGTTTAGTAAGGCCTCCAGTAAGCCTGGCCAAGATGATGTCAATCAGATAGATTAATCAGGTAATTGGTAAAGGGTTTGCTTCAGCTGGTTTATCTGGTTGGCATCCCACACTGACCAAAATGGCCAAAACCAGCCTGAGCTGCATTTCCCAAAAGCATTGCAAACTTAAGTACATCGTAGACCCATTGAAACCAATGGAGCTGCGATCAACTTAGGCTTACGATGCTTTTTGGAAACGCAGCCCTGACCAGTCTGTTGTAGTTCAGTAGGGTGTAATAGCATTGTGTGTTGTTGTTACTCATGTGTCCTGCTGTGTTTTCAGGGCCATCTACTTCGCCGCCTATTCCAGCTCAAAGGAGAGACTGAACTGTGTGTTTGAACCAGACTCCACGCAGGTGCACATGACGTCTGCTGGAATTGCAGGTAACTTCCTTTATATTTGAATGATGCAATCTAACTACATCCTGTTTCCTCAGTTTTGATGGGCTCATAAAATATAAACCGTTTATTGCTTAATTGCATGTATAGATGTGTCTAGTGAATTGGAATTGCAACCGTTTCTTTTTGTTCCATGCTATATCTCAGAGTAACAGGCCAGTAAATGTCACAGAGCTCAAGCACTCAATAAAGATCCGGCACATGGCCAGAAGAGAGTGTGTCTCTTCTCGAGAAGGGTCTGGCTGCAGACTTGCACTCTCAGACACATGCACTTCCGCTAGTGACGTCACTTGCAGTTTTTTTTTTTTTTTTTAAACATTTATTTGTAATTTAAAAAAAAAAAATTATTATTATTGAATCTCTCAACATTTTACAACATTAGCCAGGTGGTGAAGACAAGAAACTAAATTACAATGTCACTTGCCCTCTCCGCTACCTGCGACATCGTGCGTGTTGCCAATGGAGACGAGATGCTGTGGTGGTTAAACGATTAAAACTAATTTAGTTGCATAACATACAGGGTACTGCACGTCATCTGTAGGAGAAAAATGTAATGCATTAAATCATATTAAGTGTGTTTTTTCTATGGGGCAGCCCTGACCAGTCTGTTGTAGTTCAGTAGGGTGTAATAGCATTGTGTGTTGTTGTTACTCATGTGTCCTGCTGTGTTTTCAGGGCCATCTACTTCGCCGCCTATTCCAGCTCAAAGGAGAGACTGAACTGTGTGTTTGAACCAGACTCCACGCAGGTGCACATGACGTCTGCTGGAATTGCAGGTAACTTCCTTTATATTTGAATGATGCAATCTAACTACATCCTGTTTCCTCAGTTTTGATGGGCTCATAAAATATAAACCGTTTATTGCTTAATTGCATGTATAGATGTGTCTAGTGAATTGGAATTGCAACCGTTTCTTTTTGTTCCATGCTATATCTCAGAGTAACAGGCCAGTAAATGTCACAGAGCTCAAGCACTCAATAAAGATCCGGCACATGGCCAGAAGAGAGTGTGTCTCTTCTCGAGAAGGGTCTGGCTGCAGACTTGCACTCTCAGACACATGCACTTCCGCTAGTGACGTCACTTGCAGTTGTTTTTTTTTATTTATTTTTTTTAACATTTATTTGTAATTTTAAAAAAAATTGTTTTTATTATTATTGAATCTCTCAACATTTTACAACATTAGCCAGGTGGTGAAGACAAGAAACTAAATTACAATGTCACTTGCCCTCTCCGCTACCTGCGACATCGTGCGTGTTGCCAATGGAGACGAGATGCTGTGGTGGTTAAACGATTAAAACTAATTTAGTTCCATAACATACAGGGTACTGCACGTCATCTGTAGGAGAAAAATGTAATGCATTAAGTCATATTAAGTGTTTTTTCTATGGGAGGAAAACGCTTAACGAAAGACTGCGCATTGCGTTCATATTCTGTGGCCACGGATTTGCTATGTTATTATTATTGCTATGCTTTCTGTTGTTTAATGGTGACACTATGAGGATGACCCTTTTTGTAAAATTCAGGTTTTTTTTTTTTTAAAGTATGAGGTTGGTAAGATTTATTAGTCTTTTAAAAAAAAGTCTCTTGTGTTTACTAAAACAGCATTTATTTAGTCCAAAATACAGTAAAACCGCTAACATTGTGAAGTGTTACAATTTAAAATGTTGTTTTCTCTTATATATTTAAAAATCACACAATCGTTCAGAAAATATTCTAATATGCTGATTAGCAGCTCAAGAAACATTTCTTGTTATCAATGTTGAAGTTCACTGCTTCATATTTTTGTGGAAACCATGATATTTTTTATTTTTTTCCCCCTCAGGATTCTTTGATGAATAAAAGTTCAAAAGAACAGCATTTATTAGAAATGCAAATATTTTGTAAAAATCCAGAAGTCTTTCAGTTTTGATCAATTTAGTGCATCCTTCCTGAACAAAAGTATTCATTTAAAATAAACGCAAAATCTTGCTGACCCTTTTTGACAACTTTTGAAAGGGAGTACATTATTTTTCGGTTTAGTATATTTGCATCTTAATCTTTCCTCCTCTTCTCCAATCAGGGTTCACGGCCATAACCGCAACCAACCCGATTTGGTTGATTAAGACGCGTCTACAATTGGACGCCAGGTAAAGTGGCAACAGATATGTGACATTATGTACAAGTAGATTGTTTGATTAATATCCTTAGTGACTGATTCCTTAGTTACAGATTATAGTTTTAACATGATCTAGTGCTCATTATTCATGATTCCAGACTAAGCTTTGTATTTGATTCACTTAAGCGCGTTTTGTTCTTCACAGGAAGCGCGGGGAGCGTCGCATGAATGCTTTCGAGTGTGTGCGGCGTGTGTATCAGACGGATGGGCTACGTGGGTTTTACCGCGGCATGTCTGCATCTTATGCAGGCATCTCAGAGACTGTGATTCACTTTGTGATCTATGAAAGCATAAAACGGCGTCTTTCAGAGGCCAAAGCAGCAACGCACATGGATGGGGCTGAGGACACCACCAAAAACGTGTCTGACTTTGTGGGCATGATGCTGGCAGCCGCCACTTCCAAGACCTGCGCCACCTCCATAGCCTATCCACACGGTGAGCATGTGCTTGGGCGTTTTCCCATCAGAGCACCATATCATCATAAAATCAGCATGAAACGTCATTCACAACCTATTTTACTTCCATAATGTGACCCCGTTCAAAAGGTTTCAATGCTTTTATTAAGCTAGGATGCATTAAATTGATCAAATTACAGTACAGACATTTACAGTGTTTCTGAGGGTCTTAAAGTCTTAATTTACCCTATTTAAAGTCTTAATTTACCCTATTTAAAGCCTTAAACGGGTTTTAAATCTGAGCAGAAAGTCTTACATTTATGAAGACGTGGCATTAAATGTTCCATGCATTGTAAAAAAAAAATGTCTTGGTGTCTTAAAAAAATCTGACTTGGTATTTATTTTCAATACAACTATTTAAACAACTTTAAATCCATACGTAATACAGTGGGGCAAAAAAGTATTTAGTCAGCCACCAATTGTGCAAGTTCTCCCACTTAAAAAGATGAGAGAGGCCTGTAATTTTCATCATAGGTATACCTCAACTATGAGAAACAAAATGAGAAAAAAAAAAATTCTTTAAAAATCCTACAATGTGATTTTCTGGATTTTTTTTTCTCATTTTGTCTCTCATAGTTGAGGTATACCTATGATGAAAATTACAGGCCTCTCTCATCTTTTTAAGTGGGAGAACTTGCACAATTGGTGGCTGACTAAATACTTTTTTTCCCCACTGTATATAATCCATAATACGTTTACTTGAGAAAGAAAGAAGTCATGTTTTTTTGCAGAATTAAGTGAGTTTGTTTAAAAATAGATCAAATATCTGTCAATGGTGTATGAAAACTTGTTTTTCCTTTAAATTTAATAGAAAATGAAAATGTTATTTACTCACCCTCATGTTGTTCCAGCCTTGCACGAAACAACATTTGGGTGAGTAATACATGGCATAATTTTGATTGTGGGTGAACTATCCCTTTAAGTTGATTTTTCTGAGCCTATTGGCATATATATTTGGTCCTTTTGTTTTAATCATAAACTCACTAAATTTGGATCCGTTTCGCAGAAGACAAGTTTTGCTTCTCATGTAAATTTCTTGGTTTAAGAATCTGTAGACATTTGCACTGGAAAACAAGACAAAATACTAAGGAAGAACAAATTTTTTTGCAGTGTGATCAGAAAGTAGAGTAAAAGTTATTTCAATATTCTAGTGATTGGGAACTGTTCTTTAAATTGCCTAAACATTCCATTTTCAATAACTTTTCTAATCAAATAAATGCAGCATTGGTGTGCATGAGAGACTTGTTTTGAAAAACATAAAAAAAAAATCTTACTGACCTCAAATGTTTGAATTGTGTATATGTATAAAAAAAAAAGATACAAACCGTATCATTTGGGTTTCAAGTTGGCTCATAATGGTTTGTAACCAATTCTGAGCATTTGTTTTTCTCTGTTTGGTTCTGCAGAGGTACTCCGTACACGGCTAAGGGAAGAAGGTACCAAGTACCGCTCGTTCTTCCAGAGTCTCAGCCTGGTGATTAGAGAGGAAAGCTATCGCGCTCTTTACCGAGGACTCGCCACACATCTGGTCAGACAGATCCCCAATACGGCCGTCATGATGTGCACCTACGAGTTCGTCGTCTACCTGCTCGAAGGCTAAACTTTGACTTGAGGTGCCTCAGTATTCATGGACGAAGAGTTCTGTGCTTTCATTCACAATTTGGGAGTGTCTTCTGAGAGGATGGTGTTGGGAGAAAAAGGAGAAATGACTAAAAAGGTGGTGTCTAGAAAGCAATGTTCTTTGGTTTTTCTTAACTTTCTGTCTTTTAATGTTCTTTAAAATGATGCTGCTTCTAAAAAGCCTTGACAGTCCATTCACCTTTAGCCTCCTCAGAGTGTTTTTTCCCTCTCAAACAGCACCTCACATCAGATAGATCTTGTATGTGGATTCCGCAGGTTATTTCTGTCAGAGAAGCTGTTCTAATGTTGGCAGGTCATTGAGGGGTTTGTCCGGCCCATTGCTGTGCTGTAATGGCGATCAAAGCTTCACTGGATCTTCTCAAGCTTTGAGCTGGAAAGGAATCGGAGAGGATCCAAACTGAGGCTTGCTTGCTTGTCTAGGAACAGCCAATCAGGGTGCGCTTACACCATGCAATGCAAAAAGATCTTACATGGATGCATGTACCTGAGACTGTGCGCACACATGTATGCAAAAAAAAGATGTGTAAGGATCCAAACTGAGGCTTGCTTGCTTGTCTAGGAACAGCCAATCTGGGTGCGCTTACACCATGCAATGCAAAAAGATCTTACATGGATGCATGTACCTGAGACTGTGCGCACACATGTATGCAAAAAAAAGATGTGTAAGTGAGTTTAATTGTTTGGACACTGCAGGTGGTTGTGTGCTAATCTCAGAGTGTCATTTGTGTTTGCTGCCCATATTTGACCTTAATACATGAATGTAACAATCATTGCAGCCAAAATACGTTGTTAGCACAAAAAGACTTTAATAAATATATGTACGTGGCAGCAAAGTTACTAATGAAAGAAGGAATAATCGTTCAAAATTGAGAAAAAAAGAAAAGCAAGTATTATGCAAGAAAGTCGTTGCACTGTAACACAAGAAGTTTTTTTTTTTTTTTTTTGGTGGACATGTTGCACCCCATCCCAAAAACACACAATGAGCACCAAAACATAGAAAAGAGTCTTATGCTGCAAAAGAAAACAGTATTTTTGTCTTTTTTGCAGTAAAAATACCAAGACATCCTTTGAATAAGATCACTTTGCTTGAGAAGCAAAATTGCATTAGATATTAAGACATTAATTCAAGATATACTGTCTAGACTATTATATTATTACATCATCATTATGATTATTACAATATAATATTTCAGCATAAATCTGTTTTGTTAGATTTATACTTGACTCATTGGCAGATTTTTATTTTAAGAATAAATTGCTGTGTATATTTACTGAGAATTTCTGTCTTTATATTTATATTTTTGTTTCTCAATTTCAAGTGAATTGATCTTATTTTATAAGAATGTTTTAGTTATTTATGAAAACAAGACTAAAATACTGCCAGAGAATGTTTTTGCAGTGCAGACAGAAAAGGATATTAAAATATAAAATATTATCAAGGTGTCAAAATTCATGCTTTCTTTTTATGATGCAGTTTTGTATCTTGTTCTCTCACTCTTATGCCTTTATGATATGTCACGAGTCCAGTGTTGTTGTTTTTTCCTCCAGTGTTTGGTTGTTTTGTTTACAGTCAGTTTGGTGTGACCTGCTCTGTTGTCACTGTTCGTTAGAACATTAATATTCAGCAGTTGATCATATGGAAAAATAAATGCATATAAAAAACAAAGATGGGCATGCTTATTTTGGTTTGGATGGAGATTCTGGGGTTTTCTCTTAAAGATCACTCACTAAACAAAGTTAGGAATTTCTCATATGTCTGTGTTTTTAGACGTGGTGTCCTTCACACTGCTTTTCTTTGCTTTATTTTTACTTTCTCACATGCACTGAGACGTTTTTGTTTGACACATGGAAAATCAATTTGACCCACATTTGAAGATGTTCCCAGCTTCACTCAACACACTCATCTGTCTTTTAAAGACATTTCAATCTCAGCATTCAGAGAGGTTTTGGAGGACGTCTGTCAACAGCAAACAGCCAGGATATCTCTGAATCGTTTAATATGTTGTATTATTCATATTCTGTTGGAGTTAACCAACAAATTAACTGTGCACTTGTTTTGTTTTCTGTCTTCAGTTTCAAATGTCTATGTTGCAAATCCTCCAGAACTTAAGACCCGAAATGATTTTTTGAAGTGTAAGTTGAACTTAAGTTTCTTCAAGGCATTCACTCATTAATTGATAAATATCAGTGGATATGGTCTGTTACAATGTGACCGTTTTTTGTAACCAAATTTGTAGACCTGTAGATTTATTTTATTTTAGATTTTAATTTTAATAAAGGATTTGTAGTGACAAGTTTTTGTTTTTTTTTTTTTATGTGAATTGACTGGCCAGCAATGAGAGCAATGACAATGTTTTTTTTTTTGTTTTCTGGAAAGACATTTTGTCATCTGAACAATCGTTATGTTGTTAAACAAAAATTGGACTCACTGGACAGTATTCTATCCGTACAAGCCTCGTTTTAATTTCTGTTTCATTTTACCATGACTAAGGTCTAATGACATTCTTTGAGACAGTCTGGGTATGAGTTCCAAGCGATCTGTAAAACAATGTTTTTGTTTTACTGATGTGGCTAATATTCCTATGGAAGCCTGTTACTACCACAAGATAAAATTAAATCATTTCTTTCTTGCAATTCTGTTTTTTTTCTCTGCCATGGAGTATAAAATAAAAAGGTAATTGCAACTTTTTTTTCTTGCAATTGTGAGTTTATATCATAGAATTCCAACCTTTTTCTCAGAACCGTGAGAGTCAGAATTGCAAGATAAAAAGTTGCAATTACCTTTTTTTTCCCACATAGGCCTATTCCTGCCCTTTGTTTATAGTCTTTCCTCTGCATCTATAGTGGGGGAGATTGTTTGATAGACCTACTGAGCGCTGAGATTTGGCAGCTGTAGATTAAAACATAGTTTTTTGTTTTATAATATTACAATGTGAGTTGTGAGGCTGGCAATTAATGTGTTGTTTCTTTTTCAAGGGGCAGCAGCCACTATTTCTTATTGTGCTTTTAAGTTTTCTTTTGTTTGGTTTATCTTTGTTAGTGAGGTATAGCCTATAGGTCATGTACTGAACTGCATTTAATAATGTTTGCATTGTATGTTTGTTTTTGTTGTTTGCGTTGTATTGCTCTCATCTGTTTGTGTGTTACATTGTTGCTTTGTACAGGACTGACGATTCTTGTGGTGTTCTTGTATGTAATGGTAATTAAGAGCATTTTGCTCATTGTTTGAGGTGCTACTTGCTGTGGGTTTTCTTCTTTCTTCTCTTTCTCTACCCTCTACAGGTGGCAAAACAAAGCAGTGTGTGTGTGTGTGTGTGAGCAGACCTGACATTTCTTGCATGTTGAAGAAAGCTTTCCCCTCCTCTTATGAATTCTATAGACTTACAGCTGTTTTAATGTGAGACGATCTGTGTTAGGATAATAATTTTTGTTGTTACATGATGTTGTTACAACTCTTGAGTTGATTATTTCAGCTTTGCTGTGCTGAAAGTCCTTTGGTGTTCCCAGACAAAAGTGACTCATAGTTCTAACTTTAAAATCAGTATTAGGCATAAAATAATGTACTCAGAATAATTTATATGTGAAGATGGGCTGAGAATTGAGTTGAAGGGATAATTCACCCAAAAATGAAAATTCCGTCATTAAATACTCACCCTCATATCGTTCCAAACCTGTAAGACCTTCATTCATCTTTGGACACAAATTAAGATATTTTTGATGAATTGTGAGAGCTCTCTGACCCTCCCATAGACAGCAAGGATCCTTACACGATCAAGGCACAGAAACGTAGCAAGGAGATCGTTAAAATAATCCATTGTGACATCAGTGGTTCAACCATAATGTTCTAAAGCTACGAGAATATTTTGTGCGCAAATAAAACAAAAATAACGACTTTATTCAACAATTCGTCTCCTTCACGTCACCTTATAGCACCATTTTGGAGAGTATCACATATGTAAACAACGTATGCAACGCATGTACGCGGATACACTGTTTACATTCAGATCAAAGCGTAAACAACGTAAACAGTGTATCAGCGTACGGTGCTGCTGACACAAAAACAGCATGCGTTGTTTACGTATGTGATACTCTCCAAAATGGCGCTATAGGGTGATGCGGAGGAGATGAATTGTTGAATAAAGTCATTATTTTTGTTTTCTTCACGCACAAAAAGTATTCTCGTAGCTTCATAAAATTACAGCTGAACCTTTTCACATGGATTATTTTACCGATGTCCTTGCTACTTTTCTGAGCCTTGATCGTGTAAGGATACTTGCTGTCTATGGGAGGGTCAGAGAGCTCTCGGATTTCATCAAAAATATCTTAATTTGTGTCCAAAGATGAATGAAGGTCTTACAGGTTTGGAACGATATGAGGGTGAGTATTTAATGACGGAATTTTCATTTTTGGGTGAATTATCCCTTCAACTCAATTCTCAGCCCATCTTCACATATAAATTATTCTGAGTACATTATTTTATGCCTAATACTGATTTTAAAGTTAGAACTATGAGCAGTGACGAAAGAAAATGCAAAATGAGCCAGATGTTTTCTGTAGCATCTACATCTGTGAGTGTTTTGCTACATTCAAACAGTGAAAAAGACAGATTTTGAAAAACCTTATTTATTGATAAGCTTGTTTTCATGTAAAGTTCTTTGACATTAAATGGAGTATTTGAACATATTTTCCACTCCTTTGCATATTGTAAGTTAAATTATACATGAAACTTTTGACTGCTTTTGTTAAGTGCATTTTAAGAATGTTCTTTCTTGTTTTGTGAAAAAATTTGACATGATGGATTTATATATTTATATATCATTTATATTTTGGAACTCAGCATCATTAAATTAGGTATTAATAGGCCTTTTTTAAGATGCATTGCTGTGTAATGAGAGGATTAAACCACCAAGTTAATCATAGGTTTGTTTTTTGCTGTCTCTTTAGTGTCATGTGTTCATGTTGTAAAGCCTCAGGAGCCAAAGACTCCAGATGATTTTTTGCAGTGTAAGTAGAGCAAACACTCATCAGTTGATAAATATCAGTGGAAATGATCGGTTGCAATGTGTCCATTTTGGAAACAAAGTGAATTTTGTTCAATATTTGTTTTTGTCCATTCATCCTTCTCAGATTTCTGTCAACTTCACCTGGATCCAAACACTGCACACAAAAACCTCAAACTGTCAGAAGATAACAGGAAAATATCATATTCAGATGTAGTCCAGCAATATCCTGATCACCCAGAGCGATTTGATAAGTCTACCTACATCTTGTGTAGAGAGGGTTTGCGTTGGAACTCAGCATCATTAAATTAGGTATTAATAGGCCTTTTTTAAGATGCATTGCTGTGTAATGAGAGGATTAAACCACCAAGTTAATCATAGGTTTGTTTTTTGCTGTCTCTTTAGTGTCATGTGTTCATGTTGTAAAGCCTCAGGAGCCAAAGACTCCAGATGATTTTTTGCAGTGTAAGTAGAGCAAACACTCATCAGTTGATAAATATCAGTGGAAATGATCGGTTGCAATGTGTCCATTTTGGAAACAAAGTGAATTTTGTTCAATATTTGTTTTTGTCCATTCATCCTTCTCAGATTTCTGTCAACTTCACCTGGATCCAAACACTGCACACAAAAACCTCAAACTGTCAGAAGAGAACAGGAAAATATCATATTCAGATGTAGTCCAGCAATATCCTGATCACCCAGAGCGATTTGATAAGTCTACCTACATCTTGTGTAGAGAGGGTTTGTACGGCCGCTGTTACTGGGAGGTTGAGTGCAGTGGGGAAGACTGGGCTGTAGCAGTTTGTTACAAAGGATTTAGTCGTAAAGGAAACAGTGGTGCCTGTAAACTTGGCTACAACAAAATATCCTGGAGATTGTCCCACAACCGTTTCATTCATGACAAGAAACAAGTCTCAATCCCTGCTCTCCCCTCCTCTAGAATAGGAGTGTATCTGGATCACAAAGCAGGAACTCTGTGCTTCTACAGCGTCTCTGACACAATGACTCTACTACACAGAGTCCAGACCACATTCACTGAAGCACTCTTCCCTGCATTTTATACTTATTTGAATTCATCTGTCAGGATCATTGAGCAGAGCAGAAGAGAGCTTAGGTAGACTGTTGATTATGATTTCGATTTTGAATTCTTAAAATAAGTATGTAATAATAATGCATTTAAATCAAAATGTAGTTTGTAGTTTGGCTGAACAAAGGGCATGAAATTTCTTATTAAGCGTAAACAATGAAAAGGCCTAAAGAACACTCACTTAAAACTCTTAAATGTAAAAAATGCACAGTTTATCATTACATTTTCTGAAATCAGATGTTACAGTGGTTGGTGTGTGTGTGTTATAGCTTGGCATCTGAAAGTTCTCTTCAGCAAGGTTATTATTTAGTGCATCGCATAATAATCCACGTCTGAATCCACTATGCAGTTTATTATCAGGCCGGCGAGATGTCAGAATTAGTGAAGAAAATGGCCAGCTGCAGAATCTTGTTGACTTCTCTATATTTAGCTACTAAAGCTATAGCTACTAAAAGGACCTTCTCATAATGAGTACAATTCTAAACCTAACAAGTCAATATTGTTTTCAAATTTGCAGAACTTGTCTCAGGATAATGGTTGACTTTGAATTCACTTGATTTTTTAAGTGTTTCATAACTACATTTTCTGATGGTGTTGACAAACAGTTGACACTGTGAAACTTTATAAAAGAGCTGCATAAAATAAAAAAAAACTCCTCCTGTCAGTATGTACTGTAGTAGGTTTGTTTCTTTAATTGAAAAATGTTTATGTTTTTCCTTGGCTAAATCTATCATTAGAAAAGTAACGATCTTGATCAAATAAAACCAAATTAAATATTGCATTTGTGTTTAAAAACATTCATTTGATTTCAAAGTTGAAATATGTGACCCTGGACCACAAAACCTTAAGTCTGAAGTTGCACGAATATGTTTGTAGCAATAGCCAAAAATACATTGTATGGGTCATAATTATCGATTTTTCTTTTATGCCAAAAATCATTAGGATATTAAGTAAAGATTATGTTCCATGAAGATATTTTGTAAATGTCCTACCATAAATATATCAAAACTTAATTTTTGATTAGTAATATGCATTGCTGAGGACTTCATTTGGACAATTTATTTTGAAATTATTATTTTTTGCACCCTCAGATTCCAGATTTTAGCTGTATCTCGACCAAATATTGTCCGATCCTAATAAACCATACATCAATGGAAAGCTTATTTATTCAGCTTTCAGATGATGTATAAATCTCAATTTCGAAAAATTGACACTTATTAAGAAGACTCAAGACTCCTTGATCTACATGAGATTGTCTGTGATTGTTGCTTTTTCTCCACAGCAGCTGAATGCATATCTGCTTTAATCAGACTCAAAAAGCATTCTTTTTTAAATAAGAAATTATTTCTGCAGGCTTGATGTCCAGCCAGCATGAAATTATAATTTATTTAATCCTTTTACACACCGATGGCTGGAAGTGTGTTACAGCAGTTAAAACCAAGAAACATGTTTTATCTGTAATTAGACACATTATTCAAGTAGTCTGATTATTAGTGTTGAAATAGTATGATTCTGAGCAAAGTACAGAGGGAGGAGCAACAAAACTGCAAAGTCACGGCCTCATGAACAATATGTTTAGAATCTCCTTCACAGTCTTGATCTTTACTTTCTCTCTCGCAACATACACAAACCAAAAATAAAAAGCTAAAGTTAAAATAAGCAAATTATAAAGGAAACGTCGGTATGACAGCTTCTTTACATGCATTTTGTCTGCTCTCAGCACCGGTACCGTAAGTGCACAATTACACGCGCAACACAGCAAAAAGTGCGACTGGCTTTGACCGCAGAGAAACGAAACCTACAGTATTTCCCTGCTTCACGAGCCTCTGCTTAAGGAGCCACACTGTTCTAGTTTGGCTAAAGCTGTAGAGCAGCAAATATTTTACTTTTGTTTTCTGTCAAAGCAGGTAAGAACTTAATAGAATCCTTAAATAATCATTTTACCCATGTCTTTTTGCTTGTGGTAAAAAATAGCATTCAGTTATTATTGTATGCTTGATAATTATATAGTAGTTTGTATGGTGTATGTTTATTCTTTCGGTTACAAGTGAAGCATTTCGTATTATTGTTTACTACACAAAGCTGTAAGCAAATTGTAGATTTGTAGACGTGCTTTTTCATTAATGATTTACATGTGGATTTATGTTCTCTTTCTTTATTGATTTACTTCTAGCAGAGCAGTTTCTATTAGAGGTATAAACTATCTGCAAAGAAATGGCTGAATCTGCAGCGTGTCAGTATGAGGATCAGTTCATCTGTTCAGTCTGTTTGGGTCGGCTGAAGGAGCCGGTGACGATTCCCTGTGGACACAGTTACTGTATGAGCTGTATTACTGACTGCTGGGGCCGGAAGGAGCAGGAGCCGCCGTACCGCTGTCCCCAATGCAGAGAGAGCTTCAGTCAGAGACCTCTACTGAAGAAGAACACTCTGATAGCTGAGATGATGGAGACGCTGCAGAAGACGTCTCTACAAACGGCTGCTGTGGAGTGTGATGTTTGCACTACAGAGAAGAGCAGAGCTGTAAAGTCCTGTCTGCAGTGCTTGGCCTCCTTCTGTCAAACTCACCTGCAGCCTCACTATCAATCTCCTGTGTTTATGAAGCACAAACTAGTCGAAGCCTCCAGAAGCATTCAGGAGAACATCTGCCTCCGTCATGAAAAACCTCTAGATATTTACTGTCAGGATGATGGTCAATGTGTTTGTTATTTGTGTATGATTGATAACCATAATGGCCACAGAGTGGTGTCTGTGGATTCAGAATGGACTAGTAAAAAGGTATATATTTATCTATCAATGAAAAAAATATACAAATAGTGTAAGTAATAATGCGAGAGCTGACAGAACTCAGAAAAAGACAAACAGAGATTGAGAAACTTCTGATTACTGATGATCAGGTCAATTTTCTGAAGGTAATAATTTTTATGTTTGTGTGAGAACCTTCCAATAACAATAAATTATCATTGATGCATGTTTGTTCTCTCTCTTGTTGAACTGGAAAAAATATGTCTGAATCATTTGTCTAATTTCAGAGCTGTCAGTCTGCGTGTGTTTTACCCACATTTGAAGACGTTCCCAGCTTCACTCAACACACTCATCTGTCTTTTAAAGACATTTCAATCTCAGCATTCAGAGAGGTTTTGGAGGACGTCTGTCAACAGCAAACAGCCAGAATATCTCAAGACGGTATTTTTTTAAAAACAGGTTTTAGTTTAAAAGGTGTTGATTCATTCATAATATTTTAGAATCTATAAATTAGCCATTTGATTGTTTCTTACCCCTTCTTTAGTGTCTTCTTTAGGGTCTCCAGAACCTAAATCTCCAAAGGATTTTTCCCAGTGTAAGTTGAGTTTTATACATTCATTCCTCGCAGAATTGCTGAATGATTGTTTAAAAATATCTGTTAACTATTTCAATTATCTTTTGAAAAAGATCAAATAAATGTGTCTGGTTTTGGTTATCATTAAATGTGTCATTTTGAGCAGAGGGTCGGTAGGGGACAGTACTTAATTTGAATATTTATTTGTCCCTCCATCTTTATTAGATTTCTGTGACATTCGCCTGGATCCAAACACTGCACACAAATGCCTCATCCTGACAGAAAATGGCAGAAAAGCTTCATTTTCATATGAAGTCCAGAGATCATATGATCATCCAGAGCAATTTGACAGTTTTCCTAATGTCCTGTGTAGAGAGGGCTTGTATGGTCGCTGTTACTGGGAGGTTGAGTGCAGTGGAAATGACTGGTCTGTAGCAGTTTCCTACAGAGGAATTGGTCGTAAAGGACAAAGTAATGACTGCAGACTTGGGTTTAATAACAAGTCCTGGAGACTGACCCACTGTCGCCAGGATTTCTATGTCAGACATGATGATAAACAAGTCCATCTCTTTCCTTTCCATTCCTCTAGAATAGGAGTGTATCTGGATCACAGAGCAGGAACTCTGTCCTTCTACAGCGTCTCTGACACAATGACTCTTCTTTACACATTCCAGACCACATTCACTGAACCCCTCTACCCCGCATTTGGGATTGGAGAAAGATTTATCAGGATCATAGGGCATTCTTAAATCCCACAAATAAAAGACAAGCAAAATTTCCTAAACTCACTATGTTTTTGCATACTCTGTACGATTAAACCCAAGACTGCAGTTCATCATTAAGACAAATGGTGTCAACTTTAGCTTGTCAATTCGTTTTCATTTGTGTGTGAACTGATTCTCAAAGTAAAGCCTTCTGCTGTGACTTTGCTATTGTGGTTCTGAATCATGATTTTCTATTTATTTTTTATTTGTGAGGGTTTATATAAACAAATATAACCTCTGTGTATTGTCTTTATATGTTTGTATTATACCCTGCATGAGCATATTATTAGGGCATGTAAATGCGTACTTCACATTTGCATTCTGCCTTCTTATGGGAAGCAATTATAGCATATACAGTAATGAATATGGTATGTTATTTTACAGTGTTTTCACTGTTTTCTTGAATGAGATGCATATATAGAGCTTACCTGGATGTCATTTTGTGGCAATTTTGTTTTCCCTGCATATTGCTTTATATGTATTAAATGGGCATGCAAATGTGAATTGTTCTGTTTACATGCAACATATTGCTATAAAAATAAAAGTATTGTATCCATGCAATTGTGCATATTATTTTTCTGTGTACTAATAATACTGTCTGTGTATTGACTTGTCTCAGTAAACGTTTACCTGCTGTTGATATCTGTATCTAAAAGTGATAAACAACAGCATTCAACTAGACAAAACTGATATTCTTGTATAGTAGTAAGCAGCTGTGTCAACAAAAAAAGTAGAACAAGAATTTAATTTGTAACTAACATGTCCAAGGTTCCAAGGAATTCTTTTTACCAGTAGCCTACACCTCAAACAATGCCAAAAAAGTTTAATTTTGAAAACGAATAAATGTGTGTGTGTGTGTTACCAGAAATGTCCAATAGGTGGCAGTAATGCACTAAAGCGTTTTCAATTGCCACACAAACACAAAAGAACAAACAGGATGCGCAGAAGAGAGTGTTCCAGGAATACTTTTAAACTGTTCCGCGGATTTAAACTTGTTTTTTTAATTCCGCGGATTAAGGCGATCTCCCCGAAAGGCCATTTCGACTGAGGGGAAAAACCGCGGTAAACTAAATCAAAACAAAACCACTATAGGCTAATATTGATTAACAATTAGCCTGGTTTTGTTTCGCACACCTGGCAACCCACCAGCTAAAGCTAAAAGTGATGTTTTTAACGTTCGTGAAAAAAGGGCTGATGTGTAATATTGAAAATCAAAGACTTAATTTTTTGCCTGGTGTGAGATTTACAGAGGTTATGGACATCAACCAGCTCGAGAACTGACATCCGAATGTAATTAAACGCAGTATGCGACCCGGTTTATTACTAATCACAGTGTAATATGTTAGTAATATGTTTTTCACAGGCTCTTAGTAAACGTGCACTTCTGTATCATTGCGACATGCTAGTAGAAATATCATTTCTTTACAAATATAAGAATTTATGTTTGTGTTGCAATGTACATTGTTCGTACTGTAAACTACTAACGCATTGAATAATCATTTATTTTGTTAACCTCTATTCAGTCTGTTCATATTGTCTATAGAGTGAATCTCTAAAATTGAAGTAATTCAGTGTATTTAAATTGTTTCTGAATTTGGTAGATCTGGTGCCCCTCCCACAACAGTCCACCAGTGAAGGTTAGCAATATTCCCATCATCCCATCAGAAGAGGAACTCTAGCTCTGTAGCACATTATGGTAAAGACTGAGTTTATTAAAGAGGAGATGGATGACATGAGCGATCCAGAAACATCCGGAATGAATCATGAAGATACTGAGGAACAAACAGGTTGGTGTCTGTTCTTGAGTCTTTATTATTGACGGCTGAGAAACATAAAGGTAAAGCTTAAGTTTACCAGATGTAGTGTCAGTGAAATAATAAGCAACATATCAGTGATAAATGATACAGAAAATGCATCATAACTATAGCAGTTGTCATCCACGCTTTGATCGTATTATCAAGGAAATGACAGAACTAACCATTGGCACTACACAAATCTGAGAAACTTACAGACCTACTGTTGCTTTCTGCTCTTAAATCAGGTTCACTTGAACTGTTTTTAACTATTTAATATGTTTATTTTAGATCGGATGGAGGTGAACGAGCAAAGACAAGAACTAAGTGAGGAGGAGGAGTGTCGTAACTTCAAAACTCAAAGAATACAATCCAAAAAGCGGCACACCTGCTCACAGTGCGGAAAGAGTTTCAGACTTAAATCAGGTCTCAGAAATCATATGTGGCACCACTCTGGAGAAAAGCTGTTTAACTGTGATCATTGTGGTAAAAAATATTCCTCGTTATCAAATCTTAAAGTTCACCTGAAGCTTCATTCAGATGAGAAGCCTTATGTGTGTTCTGTCTGTGGAAAGAGTTTCTCTCGGCTTAACTGTTGTAATCAGCATCAGAAAATACACAATGAAGTGAGAGATCACGTGTGTTGTGAGTGTGGGAAGAGCTTTACTACGGTTGGACAGCTGAAGCAGCATCAGAGAATTCACACTGGAGAAAAACCTTACAAGTGCTCATACTGTGACAAGAGCTTCTCTCATCCTGGAAACCTGAAATCCCACGAGCGAGTGCATACTGGAGAGAAGCCCTACCAATGTACTCAGTGTGGAAAGAGTTTCAAACAATCATCTATTCTCAATTATCACATGCATGTTCACTCGGGAGAAAAGCCATTTAACTGTGATCAGTGTGGTAAAGAGTTTAATTCATCATCAAATCTGAAAAAACACCTGCTAAACCATACAGATGAGAGGCCTTATGTGTGTTCTTATTGTGGGAAGAGTTTTCCACTGTTGGTCAGTTGCAATCGGCATCAGAAAATACACACCGGTGAGAAAGATCACTTGTGTCGTGAGTGTGGAAAGAGCTTTACTACAGCTGGCCAACTGAAATACCACCAAAGAATTCACACTGGAGAAAAACCTTACAAGTGCTCATACTGTGACAAGAGATTCCCTCAGTTTTCACAACAGAAATCACATGAACGGATTCATACCGGAGAGAAGCCGTACAGCTGTACTCAGTGTGGAGAGAGTTTTAGACATTCAAACTCTTTAGTGCTTCATATGAAAAAGCATTTTCCATCGAGTCCCATCCGTTCCTCCAGTTAGTTAGTTTTCAGGTGCAGTGTTGGGGGTAACTCATTACAAGTAATGCGAGTTACGTAATTAGATTACATTTTTTAAGTAACTAGTAAAGTAAGGCATTACTTTTTTAAGAGTTACTTTTTCAAAAAAGTAATGCCAGTTACTTTGTTTTCCCATTTATTGACTGACAAGTCTCCTGTCCCCATATTGGGAGAAATTGGGAGTACAGAGGCGTTATGTGCGCTAAACATGATGTTACTGTAGTTCTAGACTAAATGTGAATGTGCATTAATTCATCCCACTCACAAAAAACAGATTTAGTATTCATCAAAATGAATTAAAAC